CTGCTCATCCCGTCCCCTTCCAAATCAAAGCATGGGATCAACCTTTACCTGATTGGAGTTGGCTTATTTTTCTCTCAGAACTGCCATTTTGGGATGGGAGAGAGTGCTTGAATATTTCTACATTTGTCCACTTTCGGTTTCTTCTGGGAGAACAGCGATTCTCTTGGTAGAAACTGAATGACTATGTGGCCTGAGATAGCAAATCTATCCTTTGCCCACATTTTAATGTCCATACTCTGAATCTGGAAATGGGAGTGCTATATATTTACAAGCTCTTTAACTAAAACATTTCTAGGAAGACATGGACTCAGTTTGAGACTATTGAACTGATTGCATATATTCCCAGTTGTAGTTCTCTTGTTAGAAGCATAAATATTTTCTGTTGAGAGTGAAGAAGACAGACAAGGCAGGTCCCAGAAAGACAAAGGAAGGAATGGAAGACCAAGATAATGTTGTCCTGCTGCCTGTAGATATCTATGCTGAAATAAAATGCTTTTAGTTTTTGTCTTTTACATTACCCAGAAATTGTATCGTTGCTTCCATTCAATGAAATACAATAAAACAGAACTCCAGCTTGGAGTTTATCACTGACTGCCAATAGAACATTCTGTGATAGTTTTACAGCCTCCCAAATGTAAACTGCCATTGGATGTACTCCTGGAGCTTTTCTAAAAGGCCACTTGTCTAAAATCTCTCATTTGCATCTTGCAATATAGTGAAAATGTTGTTTTCAGAAAGGTGGCTTTTTAGTTTTTAAAATTCAGACAAATGATATTCTAAAAATATGTGCTCAGAGCTTCTTGTGGTTGAAATACTTGACACTAATGAAAAATGACACAAATGTGGAATCAACTATCCAGATAGATTAGAAGTGAAAAATATAATTCATAGGATCATAGGAAAGTAAGCCTGGAAGGGACGTCATAAGGTCATCCAGCTTAGCCCCCTGCTTAAGGCAGGCCCATCCCTGACTAAACCATTCCAGCAAGTGTCTGTCCAACCTGCTTTTGAAAATTTTCAGGGATGAAGATTCCACAACTTCTATAGAAACCTGTTCTATAGAACAGCCTGCAGCATGTTAGACTGCAGAGTGGGCAGAGCTATGCCTCATCATGAGAGAGTTCCTCCTAATTGCCAACCTAAGTTTCCTCTGCTGCACCTTGAGATCATTGTTCCAAGTCTGGACCCCTGCAACCACGGAGAAAAAGCCCATCTCCATCCTCTCTATAATCACCCTTCAGGCATTTGAAGACAGTTATCAAATCCCCCTCAGTCTTCTCTTCTGCAGACTAAATAACACTAGCTCTTTCAGCCTTTTCCTCATAAGTCATGCTTCCCAGACTTCCAATCATTTTGGTTGCTCTCTGCTGGACTCTTTCCAATCTGTCCACTGAGAAACAGTTGAAGTAGGAAATTGAGTCGTATAGTGGAAAAAAAAGCAGAGGCATATACTGAGATTATACACTTCAGTGATGGTCAAATCCCACTTGAAGTTCTCATTCAGCCTTCTTTGCCTCTTTTAAATAGCTAAGTTTAGATCTGTCCTTAAAGTTCATTCTTTTGAATTATAAGAATGGATTTATTTTTCCTGACTGATATTTTGTTTGGGTTTTTGTGATATGGAAGCTAGAAATGAAGTGGATAAAATTATAAACAAAGTAGGTGCCACTTCAGACTATTTGGCTGCTTACAAATGTTAAAAAAACCAAACAGGTCATTCTTTACTGGAAGAAGCGGTGCATTAGTTTGACCCAGCTTGCCTAATGTCTGTATAGATTGGACACTTCAGTGGGACTTTTTGGTGCTTTTATCTAATAGCTGGCTCAATCAGCTATTAGATGAAAGTGCCCAAAAAAGTCATACTAAAGCACTTGATCTATACAGACATTGGGCAAGCTGGGTCCAACTAAAATGATGCCTCTTTTGGGCATGTGCTGGGCTTGATGTGGGAGCACACCAAGTTTACAGTAAAGCAACTTTTTTGTTTTTGTTTTTGTTTTTTAATGTTTGTAAGCAGCCTACCTTTCTAATGGGACATAACCCCAGAACTTGAGGCTGTCCTAGAAAACAGGATGAACTGGCTCTCCTTCTGGCAGACAAAGAATTTGACCTCAATGGGCTGACGGAGACCTGGTGGGACAATACATACAATTGGGCAGTAGATATTGAGGGCTATAGGCACTACAGAAAGGATCGGGTAGGGAAGAAGGGTGGAGGGGTAGCCCTCTATGTGAAAGAGTGATATCCATCCCTGCAAGTTATGTTTGACTGTAGAGAGAGGCCCCTTGAGACCCTTTGGGTCAAGATACAAGGGGCTTAGGAGAAGGGGACCTGATGGTGGGAATCTACTATAGGCCTCCCTATCAAGAAGAGGAAAGTGGCCAGGCATTCTCGAGGGAACTGAACGAGGCAGCCAGCACTAAAGACTTGACAGTCATGGGTAACTTCAGCTACCCTGACATCTGTTGGGAAGACCATTCAAGCAGCTCCAGTAGATCAACCAACTTCTTAGCAGCTATACATGATCTGTTCTTGACACAGGCTGTGGAGGAACCAACTAGAGGTAAAGCCACTCTAGACTTGTTGCTGACCAAAGGGAAAGACATGGTAGGTGACCTGAAGATTGGAGGTACTCTGGGTGACAGTGATCACGATTTGATCAGATTTCCCATCCACTAAAAGGCTGGCAATTCTGCCAGCAGAACAGAAGTCCTAGACTTGAGAAGGGCAGACTTTGGTAAACTCAGAAGTCTAGTTAGAAAGGCCCTTCGCAACCAATGACTGGACAATTTGGGAGTCCAGGAACTGTGGTCTTTCCTTAAGGAGGCAATTTTCACTACTCAAAAAGATGCCATCCCCACACGGTCAAAAAGAGGGAAGGGACCAAGAGACCCTCTTGGCTCAACAGGGACATTAGAGAACTTCTCAAAAAGAAAAAAGAAATGCATGTGAAATGGAAAAATGGTGCTGCATCCAGA